TAACCCGATTTTCTCTCCATCTAATTTTCATTGTCCAAATAAAATAAAAGAAATGCAACTCAAAAATTAACATAACTTTAATTATTCTTTCTTTAGCCCGCTTAATTCCCCGTGAAAAGCAAATAAATTACTATCTTCTTTTTTTCCAGTTGTGTTAAGTATTAATCCGAAGATGAAACATATTACAGGGATGACTGTAAAATGAAAGAAGTGATGACCCTACATTTTTTGATCCGATATTATTCATTATTACATTTGATATGAAATTTAATATGAGTAGATGTTTGCGTAGATATACTTGTTTACTTACTTGTATTTTTTTTAATATATACGGCCTAGAGATCGAATGTTTTATTTAACAAGAAAATGCTCCTCTCGACAGGAAACGAACTTGAATTCTTTTTTTAATGTTACAAACTACCTTCAAGCCAGGCATGCTTTACCATAAAGCAACAGAAAGTCATTACAACAAAGTAAGGCTCAATTACTCTATTTAAGAAATGCACATCTCTCGTTCAGACCTTTCGAAGTCTATATCTGCTACTTTTATTTTCCTACCCGAAATGTGAACATAGCCACTTTTTAGTAATTAATAGATTTTTTAATCCAACCTTATTTCCTGTAACTATAAACATTATATTCAGTGGGTCGAGAGACACTTTTTTCATAATAAAACTCTCGATCTTTAATCTGGTAGATATTAATTTCAATGTTACAAAAAAGGGATGTCTTCTCAAACACGTGTATTCAATGAATATAACGCTTACAATATATATATATATATAATGCAAGACTCTTCGGTAAATCGAATCAAGTTCTCTAAGTCACTATGTGTTTATCTAAAAATAAATACGCTTAAATTCACCTTCATCCCTGCCGTGCGCCAACGGCTTAGTGGTAGAATCCCGACTGGCACCAATTCAGTCGGGTTTCGATCCTAGCTAGAGGCAACTGGACGTCTAGCCACACTGATGAGTTGTGGTACAGCCAAACTGTCTGTGGATAGCTATATATATAAGTTTTGTTTGGTTTTTTTAATTTACCCCACCAGAATAAAAATATTAGAAAAAGAAGTTGCAAATGAAACAGGAAATTTTAAGAATATTTATTTACAGTAACTTTACCAGTTTCACAGTTCTGTGATTTTCAAAAGTTAAATTGAGATGAAGAGATGTGTGGCTATGCAGTGATATGACTCGTAATGATGTAAAACAGAAGACAGTTCATCAGAGCAATTACCATGAAAATATTTATAGAAAAGGCCGATGGAACCAGGGTTACGGCGGTGGGAAAGTAAATGAAGCCGAGATGCAAGGTCAGGACTAAAAAAATGAACAATCCTAGGTTAATGCATGCAATCTTAACCTTATTTTTCTTCACAGCTAATGAACATTTATTTTAGATTTGAATAAAAATGTTGATAGTTTACATATTTAAAAAAAATAATAAAATAAAGTGTTGTTTGAATTGTTTTGTTTTTAATGAGAAAAGAAACGAATGTCGGGCAAAGTCTTTCAAACTGTGAGATTAGAAATGATTTGACTCAAGATGAGAAATTTATTTAGCATTACTGTCAGAAATTATAATGCTACCCACTGTGTATTGCTTGATGTAAAAATCAATGCCAAAATGAGGATTGATTATTTCTTTAACTTAATCAAGCGAAAGCTTCGTTTTGTGCTAAATTGTAGCTGAAAGACCAATAAACTATTTTTAAATTATTTTCCTCAAAAAAGTATTAGTAAGAAAGTTGATTTGTTTTTTTTTTGTTTTTTTTTTGGGGGGGGTCGTTTGTTTTGTTGTTGTTTGTTTGTGCGTTTTCGTCTAAATTGTGATAAATTCGCTTTTGGGAGGTTTCTTGTGATTGACTTCGAATTAAGGTTTGGGTTAGTAAATAAAAACAGATTACGATTTGCTATTTTCTCCCTTTCTTTTGTTAATTTAAACAAAAACCGATTTTTAATCTACGTTCTCATATCTACTGAGAGACAAGCACAATATAATGGCAGGACCCTGATTTGTTAGTGACGAAGTAAATAGATGAATAAAATGGTTGTTTAAAATAAGTTCAATTTCATCAAACTTATTTTAAAGAACGAGACAAAAAAAGACGTTTCACCAGTTTTTTTTTGGGGGGGGGTCCATGTTTGTTCACATTGCAATTATTGTAACCAGAAAGAAAGGTGCGTGAGTAAAATTTACATTTTAACATTTTATCTTTTCAACTGATTAAAAACTGGCAAATTTTCAACTTTTTCCCTTTATTATAAACTCAGAGTAAACGTCCTGTAAAATTTAAAATAAATTTCATTTATAAGTTATTATTAAAATAAGAAACTAAATCTATAAATTGGATTTTCAAAATCTTTTTACTTCAAAGTTTGTTTTATTTACTTTCATTCCGTAATTCATAATAGATCGAACAACGCAAGCAGTCAACAGAAGTAGATAGATTCGCCTATCACCCGGTTTGCACTCCCCCTTTCTTTTGAACAGGAGTAGAGGTTTATCCTTTGTTTCCTGTTTAGGATTGGATATCGGGTTCTTTCTCCTAAAGTCTTCTCCATATCTTTCACTCCTAGTAACCCCTTGCGTCTTAGTGACATTATCGCCTTTCTTGGAATGAAGTGAATAAAAATAAATATATATATATACTAGATATTAAATTAATCGTTAAAAAAATTCTAAATTGCTTTTTTATTTGTTTTTATTTTTAATTTAATTTATCTGAAAAAATTAAAACAAATATTGAATAACATAATGAAAATTAAATTTTTCTATTAAAATATTTTTGTTAAATAAAAAGTGCTCCAGTCATCTAAAATTGAAATGCTTGCTTTTTTTTTTTTTTTTTTTATAAACTCAATAAAGGCAAATAAATTTATTATTAAACAATACGACAAGTAACTTAGATTTCTCTTTTAGGAACAATACTTAAAAACATAAACACTTCATGAAAAATGCCAAGATCTTTGCCATTTTCAGAAGTTGGCTTCTGTTAAATAATTAAACAATGTATTTAGTTGTGAACAAAAGAATCGCTAAAAAAATCAGATTGGAAACTATTATTTGTTTCTGTTTGATTCTTAAAGCTGGAAGTGCGAAATCGTTTTCTCTGTTAACCAAGAAGTGTTAAGTTGACATGCTCCTAGATATAAATAAGGAGTGTCAAGAACAATAACTCACGTAAAGAAATATTCATTAGCCAACATGGCGCCTGACTGAAGAATACATCCGGTTTCCATGATATTTAGACAATAATTAATATTAATGTAATAACAAAAGAGAGCAAGTTAGGCTTAAAAAGCTTTACTTTGCTTAGATTAATTGATACCAGCGTAGTGACTATTTATAGTCCTCTACAAATGAAAGAGTTCTCCAAAGGGAGGTAATCATAAAACACGTGAGATTAATCCCGATTACTTTATCACAATAAATTATAAATAATTTGTTCTCTGCATGATGATTGAACGAAACTTAAGTAGTACGTGAACTAGATCCTTTATGTCATATTTTATTTCATAGATAGATAGATAGATATTAATAATTTCATCCAAAACAAGGCAATAAGGCCACTAAGACGCAAGTTTGAGAGAATAAGAGAAAAATAAAACATTAAAAGAACAGGAATTAAGAAGACAGACGATAACGATTGATATTGCATTTAAATTTTTGAACATCAACTTTTTAATATGGAGGCTAACCATTTTGACTTATTGTAATTCTCTCACTTCATCATGGATTCTATTCTCTGAAGTTTCTGCTGTACGAAAAAAAAAAAAAAGCTAAATTCAGGATTTGGGCCGCATGGCAGCAATTTTACCCACCGCTATATTATCGTCTAACAATTTGTTGGCAACCAATGTAGAAAAAAGATATCTTATGGCGGAGTAGCCGGAACCGCAGCCTGCTGTCTTTAGTCAGGATCGATTCTGGTATCGGAGAACACGCCGTCAGCCCACACTCGTCGGTCGTTGGTGGCGACCGCTGCAGCTCTTCAACTATACCGTCTCTTACCCATGTTGTGATTTTTGATCTTAAGAGGGTCAAGCTGAATTATCACTGGGGTATCTCAAACAAGCTAAACCAAGGAGGAGTTAATTACGCGCGCACAAAATTGAAAATAAAATAGACGACGCCTGAATAAGTCACTAAATGATATTTATATCAAAAATAAAAAAAATATATTTACAGTTCTTTTCTTTTCTTTTTCTTCTTTTCTCAAGCCGTTTCTAATATTTGTCGACAGAACGAAAATTTCGGCTAACTTCTCTAAGGGTGGCCAGGCTTGACAACTGGATTTGTCTTCAAGTACTGTCGTTTGTACTTTCAAGGATGGCACAAGGTTATCGTCGGAGTCTTTCTTCAATGACAACTGGATTTAACTTCAAGTACTGTTGATTGTACTTTCAAGAACGACACAATGATATCGTCGGATACATTTCTATTTCTGCAGGATTCTGACATCCAAAGATGTTGCGACAGTCTTTACTTTGAGATAGAGAACTGTGATATAACTTCTTGTTAAAGTTTATAGAACAGATTGGAGGTGGCTAGATATAAAATGAATTCCTTAACATCATTAGCTAAAGAGAATGCAATTTTTTGTTTGAGATGTAATTTTACACACCTTAAACTGAGCCTCGATTCGAACAAACCTAGCAGGATATGAAGTAATAAACGGAACAGAAACAGTTCACTTGCAGAAACAGTGTGTAACGTTAATGTTCTCCATAAATTCACTAAAAGGACTATTTTTGTGTATAAAAATTGAAGACTTAAAATGCAAAATTAAATGGAAATCATGTGACTGAGAAAGGCTTGCCAGTAAGATAATCTATCGAAGGTTTAGTTGGTCACGTATTCGATATAACGTCTGCTTCCTTCATATTTCAATTTTTGACGCCAGAATCTTTGCGAGATTACAGTATACGTATTTATCTCTCTCTCTCTCTCTCTCTCTCTCTGTCTTCTTGCACGTAACTACTAGGTATCGAAACGCCGAGCAAGCTTTGCAGATAGATAGATAGATAGATAGATAGATAGATAGATTAAACCGGGGCCTGTAGACCGATATATACACACAGACTGCGATAGATAGATAGATAGATATGTGGATGGCAATTCGTTGGTTTTGCTGGGAAAAATATATCTTTGTTCAGGCGTTTTTTTAATGGAAGACACTTCTTAATTTTTTAATATTAAAACCTCATAAACATATCATATAACACAAGCATAACTGATGATCTTTGCTTAACTGGAGGTAATCTTGCTGTCCTCGTTGGCTTTTTATCAATATTTGGTCGGCATTTGCTTTCTAGGTTACGCAAACAGGTTGGATGTCTTAATAGCTGCTCGTTCAGTGCCGGCGAGATACGGGCATAATGTCAACTGCAGCTGGAGAAATTAAGTTCTTAAACTCTGACTTCTTACATTGACTTAAAAGAAGGAAAGGCAATCTTGCCTTAGTTTTGCTAAATTGGATCTTGATTTCTGTATGTACCTGTATTTTTTTTTCAATACTAGAAATATGATTTTTAGAGCGCGTTTGCATAATATATATATATATATATATATATATATATATATATATATATATACCACACATTATGAAATAGACAAAGTCCGACAATTAAAGACATTTTTATAAAAAGAATGTGTAAACATAAAATATCTTAATATATATATATATATATATATATATATATATATAAAATGACAATAGGAAAACTGAAGTAGTTGCTGACGCGTTTCGTCCAATGTGGACTTTCTCAAAGCAAAAAACGAAATGAAGTTATTTGAACAAAGTAACTAATAATAACAAAAACAAAATGTCCTTAGCATCTGGAAGAATTTAGAGAACACTATTTTCATACTGTTAACTGAAAATTACGTCAATTACTGTCACGTGTGTAGATATTGTTATTATAGCCGTGTTGACGGATTCAACCATTTTCTTTTGATTTTACGATATTGTTGTGTACGTTTGTTTGGAGGAGCAGTTATTATTAGTTACTTTATTTAAATAAATTAATTTCGTTTTTTTGCTTTGAGAAAGTCTACATTGGACGAAACGCGTCAGCGAAATTTGAAAATGTTAACTTCTATCAACGAGCTATTTTCATTGGTGCCCTGACTGCATGAATTTAAGCGTGCTACTAGGTTGGCATCTCGGTCCCACCCTTTTAATGTTGAAACAGTTAAATGTAACGACCTTTTCTATTCCAACAGCTTCTTCTCTCGTGCTTCCCGAAAGTGAACCTCCCTTCCTCTTACTTGCTTCCCTGATAACTATAATCTTCAAAAATTTACAAGTAATGTCACTCGACATATTCTGTGGCCTTGCTTATCCTCCTCCATTCGTGTTTTTATCCTTTACTCACCCCCGCTATACCCAGTCTTTTCCCTTACTTACACTCTATGTCGCCCCTTGCGAACTAGTGGCACTCCCACCTTGCTTGGAGTGAAATGCTTAAATAAATAAATAAATAAATATATATATATATATATATATATATATATATATATATATATATATATATATGTATTCGGCCCCCTTCAAAAAGTGTGGATGGTCCTGCACAAAAGCCTTCACCACTATAATCGAATCTCATGTGCCGGTGTGGGGCTGTCAGTTTTCTGGAAAATGATCTGCTTGACCCTCATACGTCGAACCCGACGGGGAATCGATTTATATATATATATATATTCTACTTAGCAAATGTCGTTAACCCCGATGATGATATACAATGAAATAAAAGGCCCAGCCACAATTTTAGACTAAACGATGCCTTCAGGCACCAGCGGATTGGGCTCTCATTTGCAGGGAGACATTTTTGTATGCTTTCGTTGGACATGCCATGTTTACCCTTACATTAAGTACTTCATTTGTTAGTCATAATAAGAATATTCTGTTTTATATATATTATAATAATAACATATTATTAATCTAGCTAGCCTTATAATTTTCTTTTAGCAACACGAATTAGTCAATAAGAATAGAATAGCGTTCACTACTGTATAATCTAATTAATCTCAGTCGATTAAATGTCATACGGGATACACATTGTAGCAAGCATCACTGACGAGGCAGAAGTGGGATGCCGTTTCTTTCTGCGGTAGACTGGTTGCAATCGAATGCTAGTTTGTCCTGCTATTCAACCCATACCTGGGGGGGGGGCGAAATGAATTCATACCTTTCACAAAGCATGAATATGACAAACTCGACTGGAGTTGATTCATTTCTTAAGTGAATATAACAAACCCGACTGGAATTCGAACTCAGCTCTCCGACTTCTCATTCCGAGCCGATACTCATTACAACATATTTTCACTCTACTCTAAAACAATTTCATCTAAAACATTTATTTTAATTCCGACCTAAAACTCAAAATGCTTCCTACTACGATGTTTTAAACCGTTTTTCTTTATAAAATGCCCGATTTTGACTTGACAACATTCCTTTGTCCTTCTTGTTCATAAATGGAATACGAACACGCACATATACGTATCCGCAAACATCCTCCTCAGTTAACTTTCTTTGTATATGCTTATTTATAATGATTTAAAAAGTACAAATTTTGTGACAATATAGTTAATTGCATAGATCAAAATCATAAATTACTCATACAGAAAAAAAATAACAAATAATTTCAATATTACTTTAAAAAGAATATTGTCATTTTATGGTGCGAATTAATTGGCATTTCATAAAGTCTGCAATACTCACTGAGAGTTTCTTGAATAATTCTATTAGTTTTAATAAAAATATAGGATTAAAATTCCAAAAGAAAACGGTTTCTGTCTGTGATTTTCTTTCTAATTCTTTTAGAATGTCTGTGGTCAAAAAGTATTAATTATAATTTTATAGCTTTTATTAGTAGGAATTAATAACTTGGGAAATCTTTATTGTTTTCATGTGCATGCGTGGAATGGTCATCCTGGAGGACTAAATAAAAACAAGTCTTTTCAAATCACCACTTTAAAGTAAAAGTAAAAAAAGATTGAGTTAATAGTTGTTTTATGATGATAGATGAATTTGAGATGAAAGCAAATAGCAATAGGAAAGAAAAAGGAAAGAGGAAGACTTGGCAATTCACAGATTATAAAGAGGAATCTGTGGAAAGCCTACGTTCTGAAAGAACATGCCATTATAAAACTCTTATTTCATATCTAAAGACTCCACATTACTATTATTATTATTATTATTATTTTCTTTGATTTCTGGCGTTTACATATTTCTTTCCGGGTCCCGCCCAGGGACCTAAGGTTAGAAATGGCATCATGACACCTTCCACTGCCAAAAAAAAAAAAAAAGAAATTACATAGATAACAATTTTTTGTATCTCCTCGGGGCATGGACTTCCAGGAATCCCTTAAATTAGTCTACTGCAGTCTTTTCCAACCAGTTCTAGGGCTCCAACTACAACAGGGATTGTTGATGTTCCCATATGCCACATTTTCGAGATTTCTATTTCAAGGTCCTTGTATTTTGACAGCTTTTTGAATATCTTCAAAGATACATTGCAGTCAGAAGGGACTGCCATATCAACAAGGAGGCACCGTTTTTGTTTGTGGTCTTTAATAACAATAACTGGGCGGTTGGCCTTGATTGTTCTGTCAGTGTGTATTGTGTAGTCCCATAAAATTGTAACAGGTCCTATCTCCGTAACCGGGTCTGGTTGGTGTTCATACCAGTTTCTTTCAGTTTTCTTCCCGTAGAAGTTGCAGATTTTCCAGTGCAGATATTGGCCCACTCTGTCATGCCGTGTTTTATATTCACCGGGTGCCAATATCGTGCAACCTGATACAAGATGATCAATCGTTTCTGGATATTTATCACAGAATCTGCATTTTGGGCTGACACAATATTTTAGTATATGTGCTTGATAATTCCTAGTTAGTAAGCATTGGTATTATTATTATTATTATTATTATTATTATTATTTGTGTATGTTTTGTTTCCTGCTTTGTATTCTGTAGAGCCGGATGCAAACTATGGGCCTTAAGCCCTATAGGAGAATTATCATTTAATTGATAGCACTTTTCTTTGTATATGGGATTTTCTGGGGAACATATATGTTGATGTTACCTGGGACAATGTTAGTAAAATTATCCATTCCTTTTCTCACGAGGCCCAGAGCACCGTTTACTATTGGTACAGTCTCAGTCTTCATTCCCACATCCTGTTAATCTCGATCTTCAGGACCTTGTATTTGGACAATTCCTCGATAATTTTTATGGAGGTCTTCTCTCAGATGGTACTGCTATGTCAATAACCATACACTTCCTGAATTTCTTGTCTTTCACGATAATACCAGGTCTGATGGCTTTTATTCCCCTGTCAGTTTGAATTGGTATGTCCCAATGGATAGTTACATCGTTATTTTGGTTAACTGTATCTGGTTGGTGCTCATACCATCTCTCTGTGATTTTGATTTTGTGCTTTTTGTATATCTTCCAGTTCACATATGTCGCTACCTTGTCATGTCTGTGAGTATATTCATTTTTTGCCAATTCCGGAAATTCTGAGATGATATGGTCAACTATTTCATCATATTTTCCGCAGATTCTGCATTTTGGGTTAGTTCCATCCTTGATTATGTGACAGTGATAGGATCTGGTTGCGAGGCTTTGGTCCTGAGCTGTAATAATTAGGCCTTCTGTCTCAATTTTCAGCGCAGTGCTCCTCAACCACTGATGTATTTTCTGTTGGTCCACATCTGCTTCTTTCGTTCTTTTTATGTATTTGCCAAGCAACGTCTTGTCCTCCCAGTTTCTTTTTAATTTCATTTGACCAAGTTGTTTTGCTTTCTGATTTACTCGTTTGGCGTAGATGGTATTCGCTTCGTTTTTTGTTGGTAGTATTTCAGGAATATTAAGCTTTTTTTTTTTGAAGAGTACAGCTTCGTTGTTGATGGAGTGATTTGGTGTTTGACTATTTCTAGGAGATGGTCATTGTTTTTTGTGAGTTACATTTCCAATCAGATTTTTGTAGTTTTTAAAGTTAGTTCAAGTTGGATTAGACCTCAGCCTCCTATAGCGCTTGGTACATACATATAATTTCGCATGGTGCATCCTCATTTGGGTAAGCATTTTTCTGGTCTTGGCGTCAAATCTTTTAATGTCATTCAACTTCCCTATAATAGCATTGAAGCTGTATGTTACAACGGGTATAGCTAAGGTGTTGATAGCCTACATTTTTTGGCCCCAT